CTGATGAAACGCGGACATTAAGGTTGCTTTTAGAATGTTAAGTTGTTAAATTCCACGTTGCTCTCATAAACCTTTCGATTGGATAACTTTAAATGATTTAGGTATGAATTTCTTATGTAACTCATCCTTTTTCTAGATCCGATTCACCGTACAAAGGAAAATCTTTGAAGTTCGAGATAGAAATTAACCGATCGGAAAATGTGGATTTCGATATTAACGATTTTAGTTAGTTGATCTTGTATGACACGAGGACGATGGCAAACCGTCCGTGAAGTATATTTTCTCAATGTGGTATTACAACAAGGAGCCGATAATAGTAGTAGCCAAGTTCTTTCTTAACACACCCTGTCCATCCATCATTCTCCGGCTGGCTGTCATAACGGTAACGCGTATCGTCCAACTTTGTTCGCTTCGGTACCGCCGACTCGTTTGGTTTCCTTCGGTGATCTTTCCTCTTGCTGTGGCAATTAATACGTTTTACTGCTATAACTTTTTAACATAACCGCAACGCATGAACTCAGGACTCGTTTAATCGTCATTTCTTTTTCCTGGCTATTGAGCATTCGTCTTCTTTTGCGATTGACGATCTTTCATTAAATGTTTCGTTAATTTCGAATGTTTTGATCGTTTTTGATCAAAAGATAATATATATATAGGCGTAATATGCGCGCGCGCGCTATTTTCTATTTATTATAGGGGAATAAAATATGTTATTATTAAAAATGATCTCTTTCTCTCTCTTCCTCTCCCCCCTCTCTCTCTCTCCCTTCCTCTCTTTCGCGTTATTCCGCGGAAGATTAATTCAAATCGCTCCTAATCTTGTCGTAGATCGATTGTCCTTGTATATTTATAGCGTCGATTTGAGAAGAGTTTTAGAATCGCGATAGTCAATGTTACATGTAATGCGTGTTTCAACGATAGGTGTCGCGCTCAGTTCTAATTGTTCTATGTAGACTCCATTAAGTATTATTCTAGTAATCTATGGACCATTCATCGAAACATAAACGTTTTTTAATGCTATTATACTCGAGAACTTCATATGGAGTTTCACAGTGGTAAGTACGTAAGTACGTAATTACGACCAAAAGGTGTGCTTGTTTATCGTTGAAATTATATCGCTCGAGCTAAAGATCTTATAGAATCGAATTAATAAGAACGCTTAATAACACGTCGCGTTACGTCGACTTCCTCCGTCAGTGTGTTTTTATAGTAAGAGGATTAGAGAGATGTATTAGTAAGCTCATTGAACGAGAATTATACGATGGCAATATGTAGAGAGGCGTGATTCAATTCGGCCTCCTGTTTCTTTCATTAAAAATTATTACGATAAATTTTCGTAGTAATTACCTAGGTGATATCGCAAACTATTTACGATTTATATTTGATTAACGTGTCGTTTTCTCTCTCTTTCTCTCTTTCTTTCTCTCTCTCTCTCTCTCTCTCTCTCTCTCTCTCTCTCTCTTTATCTTTTTCTTTTTTACGAATAACTTGTAAATATCTCATTAATAGAATATTCTTATAATCATACAAGTAGTCGTTTCACTCTAACAGTGACATGCTTTACTGTCTGATTCTTAATGATCTTATACTATTTTTATTTTACAGCACTTCGTAAAGTATGTATATGAACATATTTAAGTACGTACGTATTACTTATTATTGATGATAGTTAGTGTTATTTGTTGCGTACGTGACAAGAGCTAGAATTCGCTGATTACGGAGACTTGTCCTTACTGAAGACGGATTTTCATCCTTATCGAGTATTCGCGATATTCCTCGAACCCTTCGAAGACTTTCTCTCCCTTTGAAGGAATATTTGGGAGACTGATTTCTTGTCTACCATGATTACTCAGGACCTTTCCTATAATATCGGCAACATTAATTGTCGTGTGATATTAATAAACCGAAGGACTTTTCATGATTGTAGTTCATTCGATATTCATTTGAGCCGTTTTAATTTTCTCTATTAAACGGAGTACCCGAACATCCGAAGAATCTTAATATAATATTACGTTAGTATTGTTCGCTTCGGAACAAGTATTTCCAGAAAGTCGAGATTCCTTGCTACCCGATTATTCTCGAGGCATCCTTGAATACCTGTATCGTTAATCGCAAATGGCTATTGGCTGACATTAGCAAACCGAAGGACTTTCTACGATCATGACCCGAGAGAGGCAAGCAAACGTCTTTCTTGAGGATACTTTGAAGACGATCGTATCATCGATATTTTTTTATAAATCGCATAAAAACCTAAACCTCGTGGAAGATATGCGCATTATCAAGTTATCGTACTATCCGAATTTATCCGCTATGTTATACATAATTCGTCCATGTTATTAAACTAAAAGAAGAAAAGAAAATGAAACGATTTTGTAATAAACCGATTTCGAAATATATTTCAAGAGACAATATTCTCGAACGGATTATTTGTCGAAGTAAAATTATGCGCTGGTCTTAAAAGCTTTGTGAGTACGTTGGAAATTGTAGAGCGAGAAAAAAAACGACAGAAGGAAAGAAAAAGATAAAATCAGTGTGTGCGCGTGCGAGAGAGAGAGAGAGAGAGAAAGAGAAGAGAGAGAATCTATGATGGCAAGTCAGAGCAGTGCATGTAATTATCAGTCCGATCACTATTCGAATGAATGAATTATATCGATGGTGTGCGAGGTGTATCGTAGCAATGGCGACAGCAAGATGAGCAGGATTGCACTTGGCATCCTTGCGACTTGCCTAAGGCTTACTCGCGTGGAATTGATACTCGAAGCTATGAAATTATTAATACCTCATTTGCATGAAGAGCATAGATCGGTCGCTTTATTGGTACTTTCTTTTCTTCTTTCTTTCTCTTTCCATCTCTTTGTGAGATTTCTTGGAGGTAAAGATCTCTTGACCATCGTCCTTACAGTTGCCCGAGGTCCTTCTTAGCAAGGCGTTAAAGCGCTTGTCCTTTTATTATTCCGAGTAATGCGTTAAATCCAACATTTTCTGCGGATCCCTCGAAGGTATCACGAAATGAGAGGATATTCAAGGAAAAGTCGTATCCAATTATGGTCTGGGCTTTATAAGGAAAGCCATTATTTTCAAGGGAATCATGGAAATGGTCGTTCGGGGCGGCACCTCCGGTCAATAACTTGCCGTTCAAGAGATTACGGAAGTTTCCTCGCGATAAAATATCGTAAAATGAATGGAGTGTTTACGAGAGTCTGTGTGAAACTGTGCTTACGTGTTTATAGATATACACGTTTACAGGTGTAGATTCTACGCGCACATGCACTTCTCGTTGCATATACGCTTTATACGCATAATATAATATGCGTTACTACATTGACGTATCCGGCCGACTCCTCTGTACAACGATTTATCCGTGCCTCCGCTGATAAAACATTGCGCAACTTATATATGTGCCCTGCTACCCAAGTAAAATGGTGAATCAGATAAAGCAGAAGGGGAGATCGTTCGCGCATGAGAGAGAAACTCATAAATCAGACTACCCTGTCCGTGTTGTTTCGAATACAAGACGTCCGGTCAATATAGATCCACCGTTTATTAATTATCTTCATAGATAAAGACGTTTAACGGTGAATCTCGATTCTTCTTTATTTGCGATGTATTCTTCATCACGGAATGATATATATATATATATATATATCATATATATACCTACTTACGCGTGCTTTCATTTCGATAACTAGTTTCTCCGAAAGATAATTTCATTTGGATTTCCTATCAATGAAGATCGATTCATCGCGAAAGTGAATGATTCTTTTTGTAATGATACTTTTTTCTTCTTAGCGGAATATAATTAATATTAGAACTCATATTGATTTCTTATCAAGAAATCTTGCTAAGAGGCGAGATTTTTTAAAGGGCTAATTATTTTGCTAATGTAAAATATGAATGATCCTAATTGTAATAATAATATATGTGTGTTATTATATTGGTGAAAAACGACCATCGAATATTCGAAGTTATTTTAATGCTTAATAATCGTTTCAGCGTAAGGTTAAATTATTCTAACGGTGCACACGTAAGTTTTCTCGCGAGATTACGGTGAATAGCTCGGACGGTTAAGACACATGAATGAACCGCTTTCTCTCTCTTTCGTTCTCTTTCTTTGCCAAGAAGAAGAGTGGGGATTGGAAAGAAAGAAGCGAGATAAAGAAAGAGAGAGAGAGAGAGAGAGAGAGAGAGAGAGAGAGAGGGAGAGAGAGAGACAGAGAGAGAAAGAAAGAGAAAGAGAAATCAGAAGAAAGAATTATTATACACTTGAATGAACCAAATGCTTACTCGATTTGTGATGCTTTTGATAGAAAAAATAGAAATAATTTACGTAGACTTTATTCTTTTTTGGTATTATTTGGAAATCTTATTCTTTACTTTCCTTTTTTTTTTAATGAAATCATTTACTTTTGAAAAAAGATATTAATGACTAAAAATATGAGTTTGGTTCGATAATGAGTCATTCGATAAAGTGGGTTCTCATGTTCCATATCTATCTACATTCCATACATGACATTATTACCGTTTAGATAGTTTTCAGAATAATGCCCTGTATAAAATAATTTAGATATCATTAATTAAGGAGATACATATAAATTAATTTTATTTCTATAAGAAACGAAATTAATATATCGCATAATTTGAAATGGTCATTTACTAGTATTCTTTTTTTTTTAGTAGTGTAGAAATATTGTACGAATTGTTGATGAAGTATCTTTACCTTCGTAAAACACCACCGAGGAGACTGGCATTTAGACATTCCGGTGGCGAGAGTCGTCTCTGTACCTCGGCTACCGTAACTTTGTACTTGCTGGTGCTGCTGAGTAACGATAATCGTCCTGGGACTGAACAGAACACGTCTGAAGGTTGCGCGTTCCCTGTCAGCATGGCCTTTTCGCTTCTCTCCGAAGGCTTCATGTCTGTAAACACAAAGCACATGTCTTTTTAAAATTATCCATTTTTTCTTTATTTCTTTCTAATTTTTATTTCTATTGTGTTTTTACCATGCGAACATTACAAACGTCATACTCCTTATTATCGATATAATCGTACAATCATTCGCGACGTGGTTCGAATATGATTTATAGACCAGTTTTGTAAAGACACCTTCCCGATTTAACTCCCGATCAAGATTAATCGTATCGACCGATTTATCGATAAATTAAATTATAGACCTCCGTGTAACTGGTCATAACGTAGCGATAAATTTACGTAATATGCCGTTCTATGTGCTGCTTCTTTTTCTTTTTCTTTATGCGTGTGAAGATAAGAATAAAAGAAAAAGAAGAAAAGGAACTGTCGAGTATCGGCGATCAATTAATACTTTCTTGTGCCACGAAGAATGTAATAATAATCCGTATTAATATTGGTATCGAAGTAGCTCTTCTAACGTCTGGAAAAGGTCGTTGTGGAGATTAGCGATTTCACGGTGAGGAGCCAACGAAATACCGAAAGCCATGCGCTCTCTCTCTTGCCTGAAATTATCTTCTCTATCTTTCTCCCTCTATCTTCTCTGCGTTATATGTATATAATCGCGAACGGAGCAATATCTTCAGAGAAATATTTTAAATTCGCCAGTATACCATCGTATTTTCCTTCCTATGCATCAGTAGCCTCGCATTATTGGATGGCCGTTCTCTGGAATGCTTAATATCAAATCTCGTAGGGGCTACCGACAAAGCGCGTTATTGCAGTATAGCCAATGGTCAACTTATATAAGAGTCTGGACTCTTCATTGTTAAATTTGCGGTAACCGCATGCGATATTTGAACGTTTAAAATGTTAACTGTCAGAACCAGTTTTTCATAAAATCGTATGTACATTTATAGTATATTTTAGATTTCTTTTTTTAAATGATAGATTCGATAGATACAATGTTGTTTTTAATGGATGAATGTTGTAAAATTTGGCGAAAGTTTCGTGAAAGAGAAGAAAGAAAAAAAGAATTTACGCTCGTTAATCTTTGTTTTTGAGTCGTTATTTTATTTATACATATCATCTAGAATTTTTTAACGGTGTGAATAAAAGTGTTAACCACTTGCGGTGCAAAGAAATTCACGGTTGACGTGCCACGCACGTCATTTTTCTTCCTGCAACAATCGCCTAACGACGTGTGTAAGACGTCACTGGCGTTCCGGTAACAGAAGCATCTCGACGTGTGTGGCACGTCTTTCCACCGCAAGTGGTTAAAATAAATGTTCCATTTCTAACTTGCACAACTATTTTTGATAATATATAAAAAAATAGTTACATATCAGTCTTGTATCGTCAACATGTCCAGTCCGAGATTTCATTACATAAGTCAGTTAGATTAGTCTTCGGTTGATTATCTAATCGATTATTATGTCATTTGTTTTATTTATTGTTGGCTCGGTTACGTCAAATGTAATAGTGTGGGCAAATGGAGGATCGCGAACCGCATGTGTCTCCTATATAAGTAAGTACTTACTTGCCTTTTCTGGTAAGGTGGGAGAAAACGATCGCCACTATTTGACACCGTCGTGTTTTTGAACTGCACGGCTTTTGTTTCTGTTTATTTATGAATAATTGGTTAGAGTGGTGGCTAGTAAACTTAAGTAGTGGGCACACGGATTGATTGATAGCAAGTGGCTCTTGGCTTACGTTATTGTTATTCTGAAGTCTCGAAAGACTTCCTAGAAAATATATTCTAATGTTTTTCTAATTGTAAGTATTGTTGCGTAGCCCAGATCGCTACGTAGTAATAGTACGTATGATGAGCATATATAGGTGTATGTATGGCAACGTTAGACAAGTTGTCTATATTATCTATGGACCGCTAGAGAGTCAATAATATCGAGACGATTGACGGTGTCTGGATCGAACAGGTCAAATGGGTAATAAATTTCCGTGCAGTCCAAATAGGTCGATGGTTGCGTGGCTCGCAGCAACGCTCATAAATTATAATGCTTAAGAGAGCAAGTCGAAGAGGGCAAAGTGAAGAGCGAGCGGAGAGTAAATAGAGAGAGTAAGAGGTCTATGGTATCACTAGCTTCAGCGATCAAAACTCGCCGAAAGGAACGGAGACGTACACGCGTGTTCTTAATTTACATTACGCAGATCGCGAAAGTTGATTAAAAAAGATCCAGCCTGCTTCTCTCTTTCTTTCTTCTCTTTCGTTTTACAATAATGTCTTCGTAAATTTTCATTTACCAGTTTTGTTTATTTATTGCTGTACTCTTTAATCGTATAAATTTTTCTTTAGTGAATCGGTAAATGATCGACTCCTTCTTTTATCCTTAAAAGTACCGACTAGAACACCTATACAAATATGTATAAGTAATATCAAACAATCACGAAAACGGTAGATCATATTTAAAATACTTAATATTTCCTCGTGCGTTTTCAAATCTGTATAAAGAGGCAGCTCGTCGAAAATCAATATAATAAAGAAGAAGAAGAAGAAGAAGAAGAAGAAGAAGGAGGAGAAAAGAAAAAAGAACCTCATTGCCACTTATCGAATTTTTCGATAATCCTCGAACATTCACGAAACTCTAAAAGCGTACAAATATCTTCGTTGACAAAGCCCGTTATCTTGGTTCCCTTCCGCGTTCGAGAGGCTACATAATTATGAACGCGGTAGCCTTCCACGACACGCGTAGGGGCCTTATGAAATATTATTTAGAAATAATAAGCGCTTTGGGCACTTTCCATCATTCATTATTCGTATCTCTTTCTTTCCTTTCTCTTCCATCTCTCATTCGCTTATCTTCATCGTTCGCTAACGGCTAAGGTGTATTAATTTATTTAATGGGAATAACTTTCGCGTTTGAGCTTCACGTATTCACTCTGTATGATGTGAATACACACACGCACACGCACGCGCGCGCACACACATACACGTCTATGTAATGCATACATACAAATCTACTATGTGTAAAACATGTAATTATCACGAGCTGCCGTGTGAATTGTGAAATCGTCTCACTCATCGATAGTACTCTTGCTATCGGTCAATCTCTATCGGCGAGCGAGTTAATTACTCGACAACGTATCTAGCGATTCTACGGGCATAATAATGAGAACGAACGAAAGATCCATGACATTTCTCGAGAAATCATCTAAGAAGATATATTTCCATCTTATTTTCAGGCCCATCGAAGTATTCGTGTTTAAATCATATGAACGGGTTCGTTGTTGTTAACTAGCTTTTATCGAGAAATTCTCGTAGAAAAATCATGAATCGATCGATAGATCGATTTGCGACTAACGCTTTCATTGACAACGATCAAGTATCTTGCCTTTTTGAATTATCCAGCAAGTTTAATGAGTACCTTCTGACATGATGGAAAAGCCAGCGAATTTAAAATACATCAAAGGTTTTGCGTGTGGCTATCTTCGCTTAGTTATTTTCTAAAGTTGTTGCTTCGATTGCATAGACGTTTAAAGTATTACTTCGATCGTTATCGATAGAAACGAAAGCGAAGTTTCTTGGAATTCTTCATAACGCGGAAATAAGAATGTTCGTCGAACGGTCAGCATAATGAAAGCGGAGAAAAAAAGAAACCGAGAGAGAGAGAGGGAGAGAGAGAGAGAGAGAGAGAGAAAGAGAGAGAGAGAAAGAGAGAGAGAGAGAGAAAGAGAGAGAGAGAGAGAAAGAGAGAGAGAGAAAGAGAGAGAGAGAGAAAAGAGAGAGAGAGAGAGAAAGAGAGAGAGAGAGAGAGAAAGAGAGAGAGAGAGAGAGAGAGAAAGAGAGAGAGAGAGAGAGAAAGAGAGAGAGAGAGAGAGAGAGAGAGAAAGAAAGACATTGAAAAGAATTACGATAGAGATCTTTTATACATATAAGAATTTCGTTGTCCGTAAGTTGACGCTCTTTCAAGATTTCCCATACAATCATGGAATTTGTGTAGGGAGATGTCTCGAGAGAGTTAATCGTTTCTCATTGGTTCTTCTTGATGCTACCTCCTTGTTCGTGGCGAGATAAAGTCTAGGAAGTGGCCACTGGATAATTTGTCATCACGGATGAACCGTGGATGCATCATGAGGACTAATAGACCCCCCAAACGAGATACCAAGATGGTTCTGTATATAGATATCTTTCTTGCGTCCCTTCGTAAAAATGGCACGAATATATAGTTGATTAATTTCCATATGTTTTAGCACGTCGAGTTTCAAATAATCAACCGAGTGTACGCATATAAAAAGATTCACGTAAGCTCATTTCAGCTTTGAAACAACCGAGAAGTTGTGGATCATTTGCATGTTGAGTAATTGTACTCTCCGAGCTGGTAACGCCTTGATCTCATCTGGATCATCCACAGCGAAAGCGGATCACTCGCGATCTCATTTTCGTCATTGCCTTCGATATCCATAGCTCTCTCTTTCTCTTTTTTTTTCTTTCTTAATCGATCCAAGATTAGTTAGCAGTAAGCAGTATGGCAGGTATATAACGTAATACGTAGGCGTAACTTGTCTCTGTTATATTCTCGCTAACGGTACATGATGTAGGTTTCTACATATCGTATAAGAGGAATTGATCGGACATTTTTATTTCGCTTCTTTGAAGAACACTATTATATTGGAAAATGCCTCTTAAAAGATATAACACGTTCCGTGCGATATGTCTGTAACCTCGCTGTAAATCGCGAATGAGAAACGGATGATAAATTGACACGTTGAGGTTTAAGCGAACAGCTAAGTCCCTCATTTTCTACGCCAACGCTTGGTGAGGGACGCGATCGGACGATGACTGGAATCGACGACGATGAGAAATTAAATGCATCCGCTCGTTTGGCTTTGCCTTGAGTAAATATACTTTCGAAAGCGTCAATGGTGCTACGTCAGTGCTACGATAATTTACGAGGGACAGAACTCTATGTAATGCTTCATTGCGAAGGTCGAATCTTCGAAAGAAAAAGAAAGAAGAGGAGTTCGTAGAATGTTAAGGAGCGCTTGACATTTC